ATGAATGAAGTTTTTTTTTTTTGGCTAGAAGATGAATGAAGTTTGATTAGATTTTTTGATCGATTATTTTCTCGAAAATAACAGTTGGCAATGAACGAGACATTAAATTAATGCTAATCTTGTATTTATCAAACCCAACAAAAAAAAAGTAATATGTGGTTATTTTTAATAAATTAAATTAGTTTGTCCTCAATGTGATCGACTTCTCAGTATGCTCTAAATATATTTTTATAAATAAATTTCGTATAAATTAGTTTTTTAAATACAAACCAATTGAAAATCATGAGATGGACGGATCAACAAAATGATTATCTTGATTCATTAAATTATAAGATTGTTTGAGTATAAATCTTAGTAGTATAAATAAAGCTAGCTGCTTGTTAGACAATAGCAATTACATTGATCGGCGACGATGGAGAGATATTTTCATAGGACTTGGATTGTCTACCCTCCCATTTCGGTGCTCTTCCCGTGCCCTTTTATTTTGTGTGGTCACGGTTAAGCCACGTCAACATTTTATATTGTTTTTTTATAAAAATAATAAAACAAAAAGAAATAGTAATATAAAATGTTGACGTGGCTTAACCGTGACCACACAAACAGGAGGGCACGAGGAGGGCACCGAAATGGGAGAGCAAACAATCCAAGTCCATTTTCATAATATGAATGATGGAAGCTTTTGCTTTTTTTTCCTTTTTTTTTATACAAAAAAAAAGGTTAATTAAAGAGAGAAACTTTTGGTGCAACCATTTTTAGTAAAATCAAACAAAAAGAAATTCGAGTAATAGCGGATGAGGACCTATACTAAGTATAAGTGTCTTAAATCGAGTGTTCAACACTAGTAATAACATCGGCAATAAAATTTGCTTTGCGATAAACATGAGATCAAGAAATAAAATAATAATGAACTAACCAGAGATCTGATGTCGTAAATGATTGTCCTCTTTCGTCAAAGTGCACTACACTTGTTCAAATGATGGACGCTTTTGTGCTCTCCACCAAACATGAAGAAAAAGGATGTCTAAATGCATGTGTGTATGAGGGAGAGAGAGAGACTTTGTGTGCATTTTTACGCAATCCATGTGATTGCTTTTTTGTCGCAATTGAATCATCATCTATTGGGACCTTTGTATTGTCCTTCATTGCCACCCACAACCATACGTGTGTGTTAATCTACTTGATCTATACAGTATGCCGGCTTTTGTCTAAGTTCGAATTTATATTAGTTAGTGTTGCTCGCGGAAATGTGCAGTGTCGTTTTATTCATAACGTTAATAGATTTTATATATAGAATCTCAGTTGAGATTTTAAGTTGCGCTTGTTACTGTTAATTTATTTTATCACTTATACTAGCATATGTGAAATGTTGTTAGGCTTCTCTCACTACTACCAAATTGATATTACATTGGAATCTCAACTCCCCTCATCATATCAAAGCAAGTTAACTACTTATGAAGATCATTTGTGATTGTTCAATTAATGTACATGTTGTGCCAACAATTAAGCATAGATGTCGTTTTCATGTAGAAAGTATTTGGGTGATAAGTTAAGGCATGAATATATATATAGATGTCGTGTTGCATAAATTATCCTTCGAAAACATACAAAAACATGTGTCACATGGTGCTCCCACGCCACTTTAAGCCTAGTGCAATTATCCTTTTTCCTTTTTCCTTTTTCTTCTTTTTTTCCAGAATATAAGGCAACCCATAAAATTTTAAAAAATAATAAATAAAAAGTGCTATCTCGGGTTTACAGACAAAAAAAAAAAAAGAATATGGGAAATGAACAAGGACCACCATTCAAGTTTCATTTATTATATACAACGCGATAGATTTATATTAAGGGTTCAAACTCACTATTTACAAGACTCAATTTAAACTATCATAGTTTACTCAAAATTATGTGAGGACGATGTATTTAAACTTCAAAATTTTTGAAGAGAGGAGTAGCTCATAGAGAAGTCTGAACAAAAATTGTGAAACTCGTGAAGTCATTTTCCTTTTTTTAGAGAAATATGTCGAACGAATACACCTCATAACGTTCAGTGTCCATAAAATAAGTACATGTGGACAAAATATGTATTTATTTTATTAGCACTGGATGTCATTCACTCGTGCTTGCACTCTCTTTTCTCCTTTATTAGAGTACTTTACGATTTTTAATGTGTTGTGTTGTTGGATTGTACTATCTATACACCTAGTTTTATTTCTCATACAATCCACTAAATTTTCGACTGTCAGATTAAATGAACTAAAGAAAATCAATGAAAAAAAAATAACAAGAGTGTGAGAAATAAAAAAAATTTTGACATATAGTAGATTGTATTTTTGTTTACCATCCTAAAGTAGTGGTGAACCTCACCACTCTCTTTCTTACTTACCATTATATTAGTTTAATTTCAAACTTAGTTTAGCATATAAATTAGGGAACTTTAACGAAAAGCACATGGTACTGTTCACTTTAACGAAAAACCACATTTTTACACTAAAAAATCAATCCTGGTACTATTCACTTTACCCTTTATTTTGTCCTTATCATTAAAACTCAAAGTTTTCAAATCCTTTTCATTAGTTTTCTTTATAAATTAAGAAGTATTTTTGCTCACGTGAATTAATAAGATGGTGACCGTGACTCATGTCCCGCCACGTTACCCTACCTCGTACTTAATTACCAAATTTACTTCCATTATTTTCTTCTTTTTCCTTATTTTCATTTGTGGTCCCACTACTTTCTACCTCTCCGAACAATAAATAATTTTATATTTCAAGACTTTTATTATGAGGAATCTAATTTATTATCTACCAATCAATCTGTCATTGTCCGGCCTAGTGCGAGGTAGCTGTCTCCTATGCATGATAAGTACAATCGCTTATCAGATCTGACCTTCGATTTGTGTTCCCACTTTCCTGACACGAATATATAGGATAATTTTCTGTCATCTCACTTTAACGTCAATTCTCATATCAATATTATAAAATATTATGTTAAAAATATAAAATGACAGAGAGTTTATAAAAAATCTTACTTTTAAGAGTCTCATTAACATTACTCCATCTTTTACACTTTACACACATCTCTCAATTTTTTTATCATCCATTCAAATAAAGTAAAACAAAGTGTATGAAAAGTAAAAAAAGATACGTGAATAACACCACCCAATATTTGCTTTCTTTTTTTTCTTCCTAGATCTAAATGTTAGGGATTGTTGTATGTAATACTCATACCTTGCTTTCCTCTAAGAAAAAAAAAAGTTACCGTAACGATATCTAATCTCTTTTCTAAATCTATACGCAAACTTTCTTATTTTTAGTATTTGAATTGAATAAATAAATACAAAAAATAAGAACAAAATTATAGAGACATGTATAGAATGACAAAAAATTGTGAAAATTGTTTTTTTTAAATATTTAACTTTAAAAAATAAAACATTGACACTGAAAAAGATTTGGTGCGCCTAACATTTTTGCAATATTAAATGAAGTATAAATCAGTGTACCATAATATGTAGTGAATAAATGATGTGCCAACTTTTAATTAATATTTTACACTCCCCAATTAAAATTAGAGAGGTTGTGGATGCATTTGTGAACTTTGATAGGGACTTTAAATTATAATTAATGGATCATAATCTTAGATTGGGTTTGGGTCCTTTGGGACCACTTCAAAACAGCTCAACTAGATTGACTCAAGTTTCACATTTAGTCACGTAACTAATAAATGATCACTCGCTAATATATTTGAGAAAAATGCTATTGGAACTTTCTACCAACTCATGTTTTTAACATAATATTTTATAATATTAAATAGGAATTGACGTTAAATTGTGAAATGACAAAAAATCCAATGAGAGTCCCACTAGCATTTCTCTAGACGTGATATCAAACATTTTGATCAAGAATATACGTTTTTAACGTCCAGTCGCAATTTGATATTATCTAATGATGAGTGACTATCAACTCTTGATAATCGTCCAAAAGAACAAAACTGGAATACAAATGATCACATTATATGCAAAGCATTTCTTACATATTCACCAAATACGAGATATTAAAAATGCTACGCATTATAAAGTTATTTAACATTGAAACTTTTTTTCCCAAATAATGAAATATTTGTGTTTCACATTAGTCTTATTCCATGCGAAAACTATCAAAATCAAACGTCGTAGCCAAAGTTTTTCCCTTGAAAAATACACCGCATCTGGACACATGGCCCCCGTCTTCCTATAAGTTTAAAGTTCAAGATTTTAAAAATAAAAAAGAAAAGAGGAAAAGGATAAGGAAAAGGAAGAGCGTGTAACACGTGGCAGGTTACAATTTGAGTGCCAGGGACATTTCAGTGTCGCCACGTCTCAGTAGCTCGGAGGTAGTCGGATGGACTAAATAAACTCGCTCGACCAGTCAAGGGACATTTTAAAAACTCACGCTATTAGACTCAACAAATTCAGTAAGAAAACAACGTTTTTGTATCTTCCACAAACGTAAGAGATAATCAGTTTCCGATATTTTAAACTAATCTAATTTATTAATAAGAATTCAATTTTGAGGTGCAAAAGCTATACAATGTAGATATGATAATTTTTTACACGGCCATTTAATCGAACACAAAACGACACAAAAATAGAGTTTTGGATCAATCAGTTAACGACCTAGATCATTATCGAGTACCTGTTAAGTTCTTGTTAACATTTCAGACCTTTATCAGATCACATGTTAAAAAAATCCGTTAAGATAATGATTATGACACATAAACGCCACAAATACGACCAGTTTACTAGGTTAGACATTAGGCATTAACCTAACACAAAACGACACGACCCGTTAATGTGTCGGGTCGTTATCAGATCACCTGTTAATAATCTATTAAGATAACGGGTTTGACACGAGACAATTTGTTAAGATAACAGATATAATACAAAAACGACACAACCACAACAAACACGATCCATTTGCCAGGTCTAATTTAATGCGTGTATTTATGTGTGAAAAAAATAGGCATGCAAGAAAAACTAACCAGAAAGGGAATTTAGGAAACAGCCTCCACAGAAGAGAAGAATGAACAAGAAATAATTTTCCGATGACTTAATTAAACAAAGGGTCCATACACATGCATACATACATACCTCAAAGTCAGCCAACTTTCTTGCATTTGCAAGCCCCATTTTTCGAAATTCGCCGGTGAAGGCGATCTGCTGATTAGTGGTAATGAGCCTTAATCTGTATCAAGAATCAGCAACTTTGGTGAAAATAAGGGAGGCATAGTTGGCAATTGTTGATTCCGGAGATTGCCGAAGGCGTCCGATCACAGAGAACAGCGGTGATGAACGGAGGAATTGTCTGCAGGGCTGATGCGAACACATCTTTGCCAATGAGAACAGAGCTATTTTCAGAGGTGACTCGTTTACTGAATCTTTCCTACCCGGCGGGTTGAGTGCCACCACAGAACAATCAGCCACCAACTTCAGTAGAGACTGCAGCACAAAAGTGAGGAATTTCATGATTCTATCATGGCAATGTGTATAGAACAAAGCTTGAAAAGCGGCTTGGTTTCGAAAAGCATGATTAGGGTGATTATCTAAGGAAAGAAAGGAATCAAAACCACAAACCTGCATGGCTCCCTTAGACACAATATCTTCGCAAAGCTGGTCGGAGTGGCGGACGAGATTGCTTAGTGCACCTGCAGCATTTGCTTTAGTCTTGTCTTCTTCGGACGAAACCAACAAATTCGCAAGAGAGGGTATAGATCTTCGTAGCTCTTCATATAATATCTTGTCATGGTAGGCAGCATTCCCAATCTGCAGAGAGAAATTAAGTTCAACAGTTAAGGTAGACACATATTCTTGATAGGATAGTGAAGAACAAACTTAATTGATCAACTGCAACGGACAGCTAAAAGTAACATAAGACATCATTCAAGGGAAGATAACTTACAGCAAAGCAAGCAAATTTCCGTGTCCGTTTATCTGGATCAGAACATCGATCAATAAGGAGACCAATGATTTGATGCCTTGCCTGAGATCATCATATTCCATTGTAAGATACAAAAAAGAAATCCAATCTCATCCACGTGTGTGTGTGCTTCATCATCCAGACAGGGTATTCGAAGAACCTTAAAACAATCTATCATTCATTACTTACTAGGGAACTATAAAAGTAGGAGCTGTGCCGGCACATATTTCCTAGAGCACTGCAAGCCTTTGAGCGCACATTAGGATCTTCATGGGTAAGAAATTCCTTGAAGAACTCCAATACAGATGCTCCATTAATGTATTCGTAGAATCCCTAAACACCAAAAGGAGGAAGAAATATTAAGAAATAAAATATTTCTTTTTTACCTTCCTATTACTTAGATGACAAGGATTCCTCTAAACAACACGATGTTCCTTCCACAGCTCAGACACTTCAACATTAAAAAGGTGAACATATATTGAACCACAATATTACATGCAGCAACAACTATATTCAATCAAAAACCATATCTGACCTTGTCCATGCGAGCCAAATCAGAAACAATCATCAGAACATCCAGCATCACCTCTCTTGGGCTTGAACAGTCGAGCAATCTTCTCATCCTTTTAGGATCCAACAAGCCTTTACCCACAAGTTGAACTGCCAATGGTCGGTAACCAATCATTTTTGCAAGGAAGGCCACAGGCCTTCCCATATCCTTTAAGTCCAAGTGCTCTAAACACCAAAGAATGATGCCTGGCACTCCTACCTGTAAACTTCAGAAGAAATTGAATGAGAAACACATATCAAGATTCAGCTTATGAATTCATTCTGCTATCTGATATAATACTGATGTATATGCTGTGTATCCTCCAAACAAGAATGTCACCATCCTGGAAGAAGATTCTAAACAAACCCTAACCCTGTCTCCACAAAGAGGAAAAACAAAGGAAAGAAATGCGAACCTCCAAAAGGTTTTTAATATACTTTCCAAGGTCTTCTTCAATTACTTTCACCATGTCTTTGTCTTCCATGCCAACTCTCACACCTGGTGAACCCAGGTTGAGAAGGGCCCCACTATTCACTGAAGCAGTGGTTGATGGCAATCCTGGAACATTCTGTACGGCCACAAAAGGAAATGCCAAGACATCAATTACTGCGTTTGTTATATCTCTTACACCATCCTTCCCTCCACCAGGCCCAACCCAGGACTTTACAAGCTTGAGATGCATATCAGATATCAAGTCAGAGATGAGCTTGATATGATTACATCTAAGCAGAATCTGCCGAAAAGTTAAGGCTCCACCGGAAAGGCACTGACATATTGACAATACTGTCCATACGACTCCTATAGGGGAAAGCCCAACTTGATCATTGGTGCTGTCAACTTCTGGTTGGTTGTTGGCTAACAAATCCACTAGAAGCAGAGGGATATTGCTTGCACACAGCTGTTTAACAGCTAAGGGTCCTCCCCACCTCAGTCTGGACTCCAGCAAGCCAACACATCCATCCCTTAGACCATGCCAGTATGAGAGAGCACCACTGGGGCCATTCAAACGCAATTCATTTCCTTTGCCTGATGAAAGCTTCAGGTATTCACATAGCATGGCACTTTTAGGAATCAAGGGCACTGCTACCTCAAAGATAGAAGACTCAACAGAACTGCCAGATTCAAGGAACAAAATAGAAGCCAGTGCCAGCATGGCTGATGAAGTATGAGCTTGAAAGGAGGCATTTTTGCTCTCTTCAGAAGAAAAATGATGAGAAAGGACAGAAAGTCGAGAAAGCTGCTTCTTTGGAGAGGTCGTTAGCATAAATAGTGCAGAATTTCTTCCAGTTGCCTTCAAACATTGTGCAACTGTTGCAAGGATGAGGCATGAATGCAGAACCAAGGTAGTGGGATTGGTTAATTTGCTCATGAAGGTGGTTGTCTCAACTGCTTGGGGATCTTTATTTTGAGACGAAATGCACAAAGACAACAAAGAGAATATCTCTGAAATAATGGTTCCATCACCTCCGCCACTAACAACAGTAGTTACAGGTAGGGAAGTAGGCAGGCCACATAGAACACCTGGAACAATTCCATTATGCAAGCAGCACCTCAACAACAACTGAAACATGGAAAAGAATTGTGATTATGAACACTAGATCCAACCACAAATGTAATTAAAAACTGCCGTTGAAATATCTCAAGAAATTTTCCTTCTCATTACTTTACAGTTTCAAAAAACAACACCCTGTTTACAGGTGGATTTCTTGAGAGATTTTAGGTGCTGTATTTTGGTGTGCATGTAAATTGGATGAGAGAAACACCTGAATGACAGCATACAGTGAAGCTTCAAGTCGTTGGTGAAGGCAATAATGGATAGCAACTTGTACTGCTTTTGATCTAAGGAATGCTCTTGTAACTACAGCAACAAGTTTTGATGCTTCTGTCCCAATCAAAGAACCTTGATCTTGATCCCTAATGTCAAGTTGGGGTGAAGGCCGGCGCATAGTGTTTAGCGGGAATAAATAGGCATTTCTTTTCATACAAAGATTTTCTGATGCATCTATCAGAAACCAAATTGCCACACATGCTTCACAAGCTGCACGCAGCATATTTGAAGAGCCTGAAATAAGACTTGACCCTGCGGTTACTAAGCAGAGACAAAGTTGGTCCACTAAACCAGATCTTTTAGCGTGATCCAGAATCTGTTTCAGTGCTTCATTAGGATCAGAGGTTGAGGAAAAAGATTTAAGGCCCTGAGTGACTCTTCTTAACATGATAGTAATGCAAGCAATGGACTCATACAGAACTCTTCCAGATGCATCTTCACTACAATCCACAACCTACACATTCAACAAGATGAGAACTAGAAGCAGGAACTTAAATTGTAGCTATAAAGCAATATGACCATAAAAAGAATCATACCTGTGAAAAAATATCAGATAAGGCAACCCAGTGCCTGAAATATGAGCCACCAATGCTGCTTCCAGCATTGTCAACCAAAATTTTAATCACTGAGAAACTCTGAAAAAGTTTTAAAATAAAACAATGATTTTATCAGTCACCTAGATCATCAAACAGATGGGGAAAAAACCTATCTCTATACTTATGATCTGTTCAACTTAAAGCTTCTTAAGATGCTAAATTTAAAAGACGCAGAAGACATAGAAAACACATTCTTTAAGTGTAAGATGACATGGTGGGGGATGGAGAACATAATATGGCAAACTAAGCATTAAATTTACTGACGGCCAATCATCTCCACATGAAAACCAATTTCAAGCACAAGGCCATGGGGATGTGGCAAAACTCAAGATGCAATAATCAGAGGTAAGAAACTTCTAAATGATGCACTTATACCTTCGCCTTTAACTCATTTACTTCAGAAGATTTCATGCTCACAATGATGGCAGTGTAAGCAAGAAGTTCGTGTATTATTTCATCAAGCAGTCCGCTGGACTGGAAGGCACCAGCTGCAACTAAGTTTGAAAGGATTCTCAAAGACTGGTTTGAATTAATAATATCTTCATCCCTGTACGTATTTGTACATATTTTGAAACAATCAACTCATACGGATAAAAAAACATAGGTATTTGGTTATATAATTGTCCAACAAATGTAGGAATGAAATTCAGCTTTACTTGCAAGAATTTGGGGGTCCATTGGAGCATCTTTTTAGTGGTACCAAAACATGTGCTAATGCTTCATTATCTTGACTTATTATTTGTGCACCTTTGACTGTACGAGAGTTATTTTCCAATCTGTCCAAAATTTGGAAACCTGAAGCAAGATGTTACTTAGGAAGTAATAATTGCAATACTTATGCTTCCATTGAAAAACACAAAGCCAAGGCCTCAATCATAATATATTAAATTGATTTTATTGAACAAATAGAAACAGACTATTTTTCCTTGATATGAACTTTAAATACCTGACTGTTTAACTTCATTAGGATTTGCAAATCCTGGGAACTCATTTGGGGAAGAATTGACTGTTGTGGATTCAGGAGTATTTGCTTGAGCATCATTCTGAAAACTTATTCCACTGTTGTTCTCTGAAGAAGCTGGAGAGTGGACTTTACCATTATGACAGTGGAAGTATTTTAATCACAATTCAAAGAAAACCATTTGAAATTTTGAAGTCAAGAAAAAAGTAACTACCAGGAGATGAAACAGCCACAACTGATGTTTGAACTTTGTTTCCTTCACCCCTCCATGCCGCAACACATCCCCTATCTGCAGCAGTAGCTGAACGCATTTCCTGGAAAGGTATAATAATTGCTATAGTTATGTAATTCTACAACTGACACATGGCACTCTTATATATACACACTATCATGGATCTCATGAAAAGTGAAACATTGTAAAACAAAATAAAGGTTTTATTAGCAGAAGTATAAAAGAATTTTTCAAAAGTAAATATAGAAAATGCAGCTACGATGAGATATTAGTACCCTAGCCTCCAGTTCATGAGGAGTCTCTTTAACAAATGGGTGTTCCAGAAGAGCTGGCCAAGTCAATCGATTTTGAGGTACCTGTTTCTCAATAAGAAAACACCTGTTAACACTCGAGGTTAGCAGAAATAACCATTGAAACTATTCAACTGAAAAGGCCATAATTTCAAATTGTATAGCAAACCTTATTGAGCAGTCCCTTAAGAAAGTTTTTAAAACTTGGACTCATGTTGTCAGGATATTTAACTGGATCCTGAGACATTTCAATGCAGCATTAAATCATACTTTTTATTGACATACCTAACAAAACTCACATAAATTTTGATGACATGTACCTTGACAATGTGCCTGATGAGTGCATATACAGAGTTTGTATAAAAGGGAGGCTGGCCTACAAATAATTCATATCTGGTGTGTACACAAAAATAATAATTGTCAACAAATATGGGAAAAGAAGAGAAATAAAAATGAGGCAGAAAAATGGGCCAGCCCAAACAGGCTGTGGAACTTGCTATTCCAATTATATTTATTTGAATTGTGATGATGTGATCTATGGTAAATTGGGATGAGCTACAGAAGTGAATATCCTATAACCTGTATGACCACATGACAGCAAGGCTAAAGCCGAAATAAGGTAAGAAAGCACATGACATGAAGGAATAGATTAAATTAGAAACCCTCTTGAACTATATAAGATAAGTAAAAGAATTTTCAATAGCATGGGTCAAAATCTAACAAATCAGTAGCAGAATACTTAAATAGAAACTCAGGGAAATATTTTGATTGAAAGATAAAAGAAGGAATGCAGCATACAATATTACTCCAAGAGACCAGAGATCTGCAGTGTGGTTGTAAGGTTGTTCCCGTACTAGTTCAGGTGCCATGTACAGAGGAGTACCTAAGAAACATTAATGAAAACTTCACCGAATGGCCAAACACAATAGCATAGTTCCTTCAAGATCCTCGGGGAGTATCTATAAGTTAATCAAGAATTGTCAGCTGACCTTTAATGGATCGCAAAACAACAGTGTTTGTGGACATTGCACGTGCAAACCCAAAATCACAGAGCTGTGACAAACAAGAAAATTTATTAGTTATCTGATACCAGAAATTCACTTATAAGAAACATCACATGTAAAAAGCAGAGAGAGGGGAAGAAAGTAAAAACAATTCACGTAAGAATATGAATTAATTTGTTCGGTTGATCATATATTTATGTTAAACATAGAGATTATCGGTAGAATCAACCTTAACAATAGAACCAGCACCAATGAGAATGTTTTGTGGTTTCATGTCACGATGGATGATACGGTTGGAATGCAGATAATGCAATGCCCTCACCTGTAAAATTCAATAAATGAAAATTTTAACTTTATATTATAGAATAATAAAGAAAAAGTATAAACAACAACTGGAAAAACTAAACAATCAAATGTGATAATCAATTGAGATGGAGCCTAAAATTCGTAATAAAGAATATACCAGCTGCTTTGCAATAGCTTGAACTTGTTCTTCAGGAAGGCACTTATCATCCTCAAGAATTTCAAATAGTTCACCCTGCATACCAAGAAAATCTTTGATAGTTCATGCATCTGAACACATTCCACAAATAGGAAGATACCCTTGTACATCTGGAAGAGTTTCCAAAATAACAAGCTACGGTAGATAAATTAATGCAGTCATATTGAAGAAAGGGTTCAGTACTTGTGCAAATTCTGTGACAACACAGAACTCTTGTGGGCTTTCAAAGGAATCAAGCATTTCAATGATGTTTTCGTGCTTCAACTTTCGTAGGATCTGCACATAGAGGAACACTGGATACTAAACAACTAAAAATTGAAAAGGAAATGTCAATCATAAATGATAAACCAAATCAAGGAAGTTCAAGATGTAAACTACATTTGATTTGAGATAAAAAAATGAGTCCAATACCTCAATTTCTTGTCTTAAATTGTGGATATCTTTGTCACTTTTGCCATGCTTCATGATGAATTTCATTGCAACGGTCTGCAGCAGGGACAAAAACACGTCACCGGCATAAACATTAAACACTAAACACCAACAAGAAGAACGAAAGGAAAACAAAAAACAATTAGAAGTGCAAAAGGTAATTACCTGACCGGTGTGCTTTCGCCTTCCCTTGTATACCTTCCCAAAGGAACCTTCACCTACAAGCTCAATCACATGGTAGTTCTCGACTCCCATCTTTTGAACCCACGGCTTTATATATGTACCCTTTTCGGTCCTGTAAGATAAACAAATACGCAAGAAGTACTAAAATCAATCTGGTGTGGCTCCCATTAGACAAATTCATGAGATTAGAATTTTCAAACTAAATTATTTAAGTGATGGTGATGTTTGATTACCAGTTAACTCCGGAAGCCTCTTCGAGCTGGTTTAATTGAAAATTGATGCAATTCCCAAATGCAAACTCAACCAAACCTAAATTGGCAAAAATATTCACACAAACATAACCAAATTGTGTGTAGAAATTCAAATAATACCCAAAAATACTGGACCACATATCAGCTTAAATGAAGTAATTAGGAAATGTAATAACAGTAACTTGTACTTCTAGATCCTAAATTCAAAATAAAACAAAAACCCTAATCTTCCTAATGGGTTTTTGGTCTGCAATCGGAATTTAAAATCCAACCCAAAAGACAAGAGGGAAACAATTGTGATTGGTTACCAAAGAGAAATGAAGTGAAATAATTGAATGGTGGAATCATTTACCAAGCAAAACGAAAGCAGATTAGGAAAATAACAGATAAAGAATTGCATACAAAACCCTGAAGTTTAATCTGAAATCTGACTGAAAAGGAAATTGCAGATCGTTTTTGGAAAGAGTATCGAAACGTACCTGGAACTCAAGTTAGAGAGAGAGAGAGAGAGAGAGAGAGAGAGAGAGAGAGAGAGAGAGATTTGAAAATTGGTAAAGGCTGGACTGATGGTGAGAGAGTGGTCAGGTTTTTGTGGATTTTTCCCGCTCATCTTTAATTTTCATTTTTCAAGTTTTAATTGACAGTGTGCGAGCGACGAGTGAGGCCTTGGGCCTTGGGCCTTGTTGTTGGCCCTTAAGAAAATACTAGGAAATTTTAACTTTGTTTTCTACCAAGGGGGCGTTTGTTGTACCGGACTATCTCAGACTGGACTAACTTCAGGGACTAAGCTGGACTGGCTTAGACTAGACTAAAATGGACTAGCTTAGTGAAGCGTTTGGTACAGTGTCGGACTAAAAAGCAGACTAATTAATAAATTATAATATTATATTTGTTTAATTCATAAATATTATATTATATTATTAATTTATTATTTTCCTTCCTATCTCGAAACTTCTACACTACAAATAAAAATCACAGATATGATGTAGTTAAAATACAGTACCATTCGTTCAATGCATTCCATGCGAAAGCCAAATAGAGCATTGATATCTGCAGCTTCATGGTTGCCACGAATTAAATGTACATTCTGGGGATACTCAACCTGTAATATTGACATTTTTTGCACCCACTCTCTCACTCCCCTCTCCCTCATTTTCTTCCCCTTTTTTCCTCCGGTCGACCATCTCCCTCCTTTCTCTCTTTTTCTCCCCATTTTTCTCCAGTTTTCTTCCTCAAAGGAGGATCTGTGTATTAAAAGGGAGGATCTGTGTATTTTCTTCCTCAAAAGGAGGTCTTTTTTCTTGTTCCTCAAAGCAGAGAGAGCATTGCAAATTGGAAATCACACATCAAATTTCTACTATAATTTATGTTTTACAATTTGATTTCGTTTTTTCCTACAAATTTCTGGAGTAGTGCACTGCAACCCAAGGTAATAGATTTCTGGGTTTATCACAGATTTTGATATTTTCTGTAATTGGGATTTATAAGCTTTAATCTTTGAATTGAATTGTTGTTTATGGTGGATTAAACTTATTGCAAGCTTAACTGGACAAATTCATCGCTGAAGCAAATAGGGGATTGGGTTCGTAGGACAGAGATCGGCGAGTTTCTGATTTGATGACTGGAGAAGGTGCTGTAGCTCATGTACAAAGGAGAAGGCAAGATTTTGTGACTGGGTTCACGAGATGATGGAGATCGGCATCGCATGCTTGCAGACGACACACGCATTAGAGACGGGACTAGCAATCCTCCAGTTTCTGGGGGTCTCACTAAGAACAGCTAGGGAAGCTGTTAGTCGGTGCGAGTCCGATTTAGTGTCATTAAACTTAATCCGGGTGCAGACCAAACAAGGGATTATAATCTAGTCCAGTCCAGTCCTTCCTAATCCGGTGAAACAAACGGGCCCTAAATGTGCTTGAAACGACACTAAACAAAGCATTATTTACTGCTTAGAGTTATGCCCTAACATTGTTCGTTTGTTTTTTTTTTTTTTTTTTTTGCCTTTAAAAAGGGGACCAGCTAGTGGCTTCACCATATCAATCCACTTTTTCGGGGGCGGAAATACTTTCATAGGCATTTCACTCTTCCCCTGACACCATCAAGTAATTCACCAATGTCATAAATCAAACAAATAACGTGCTATGTGGAATACGGGCCTAGAATTCATCCTTAATCACTAGAGTACCATATAGTGGTTACATTGTTCGTTTGTTGGTTGTTTTTTGTTTTTTTTGGGCAATAATTATTCACATTGTCATAACATTATTAGATGTTGATCGTTAAAATGTGACCGAAAAAGTAGACTGTATGAATCAAGTAGTAATGCAAGTTTAGAAGGAGAAAGGAGGAGGAGGTTATACTAAAAAACTCCCAAAATTCCAAATTATTAAAAAATAATATCAATTATCAAGTTGGCTCATTTTGTGGAGTTTAAATCTTATGACCAAAAACCGTCAGTGGTCTATCTACTTGAGTTGAGTCAATTTATCTTTACCTTTTTAATTCAATTTATCTTTTCTTATGCACCAAAAACCGCAAGTTTAAATGAATGACTATGTATCAACAAACAAGAAAAGTTAAAAAAATTAACACTGTTAAGTGGGGTTTAAATAAATGGCTAGGTGTCTACAAATCACACCACATAGAGCTTTGTTTGCTGAAGATTGAACTCTGTTTGATGATCGGAACTTCATTTATTTTGCAGGCCACTATTTGAAGATCAACTTTCCAAAAAATCAACAAAACCAAAAAATGTTTAATCATTTGTTAGGTTGTCATAATTATTTTTTATTTTTTTTAACAACGATATGTGCTAGTAATAATATGGTTTAAATTCACCTTTGGCGATAATTAAACTTACAAGTGAAGAAAAATATCACTAAACCGTAGTGTTAAGTAGCCATAATTTTTATACTTAATTAAAAGGTAGTTTATTTGTTGGGAAGCAGTTAGATGAAAGTGACTTCCTTTTTAAGGTCATATCCATAGAGAAATGCTAAGCAGACTCTTTTAAAGTAAAATTCATCGTTGACTTTTTATCACCTCATAGTTTGACGTTAATTTCTATGACAACATTATAAAATAAGGAAAACTAATGAAAATGACTTGAAAACTTTGAGCTTTAATGATAAGGACAAAATAAAGGGTAAAGTGAATAGTACCAGGATTGACTTTTTAGTGTAAAAATGTAGTTTTTCGTTAAAGTGAACAGTACTTGGTGCTTTTCGTTAAAGTTCCCTATAAAATATTGTACAAAAAATATGAAGTGACAAAAAATGCATGGAGAATCCAACTTTTTAGAGTCTTGTTTGCATTTCTCTAATTCATACTAGAGAGAGAGAGAGAGAGAGAGAAAGAGAGAGAGAGAGAGAGAGAGAGTTAGCTGATGTATGTTGCAAAACATGGTGACAGTAACATTTGTAAGCAAAAATGACAAATTTCAAGCCCACAATCACATGATTGGGTGGGTGAGCGTTATTAGACATTTTCATTAGTTTTCATTTATTATTACTTAAAACACTCTCAAGTACAACAAACCCCCAAAAGCTTCTCTATAAGGAGGCAAACCAAGGTTTAACCATAAAATCCAAAATAATCATGTAAATGACTGTTTCAGTTCCCATTGCCTGCCATTTGGTTCTCTGCTACTTCCTGCAACGCAGTTCTTGGCTTCTCTACCATCTTATCTTCTGTCTTGATCTTCAATTGACTTTTCAGCATTTTCCTTAGCTGCCTTAGACTCTTAGCCTCCAATCCACTCGCCACGCTATCCTTGTCGGTGGCATCCGCGTCTCTCTTGACCTCAACTCCGCCATTGTCACTGCCATCATCAATGTTTTCCTCATTGTCATCGAAGATGTAGCTCGTGACTTCCGATCGCTTCTTGCCTGGAGACTTCCCGGGTTTTGAGAGAGTTGGACGGGGAAACTGAAGCGGAAGCTGCTCAGATTCCGAGGGTGGCAATGTTGGAGCCTTGTCCAAAGCTGGGTCGCCTTCTACACAAACATCAACTTCAGAGTTATTGACCACAACTTCTGCTACTTTAGTCACATTACTAGCACCAACCAAACTTTCATCACCAAATTTTTCTCCTTCCTCAGCGACGGCATCATCAGAACCATCTTCTGTCATGGATTCTGTTTCCGAATCGAACTTATCACACTCAACTGAGTTTTCATCCGTGGGTTCATCTTCACTAAATTCTCCTTCAGTGCTGTCACCAGAATCTCCATCCTTGATCGAGTCTGATTCAAAATCGAATTTCTCGTTATAATCCGCCTCTGCCACCTCATACGTTGAGTCCTTGCCACTAAGCATAGGCTGCTGGTCACCAGACAAGCTCAGAGTCAATGGCTCAGGCTTATCAGCTTCTTCTACATTAGCCACATCCTTAACGTCTCCAGTCTCCCCAGCGGCAGATTTCGAGTCAGAATCGTCGTTCTCAAGATTTTGATCCTCCACCGTAGTGATGTCATCTTCCGGTTTCTCAGCAGCAATAGAATGGTCCATGCCCTCAGCAGAAACGTCATCAGAAACTTTGGCGGCCAAAGAGTTTTCTGTTTCTTCATCATTAGGTTCTGCAGCAATCACAAAACAAAATGGAACCCCAAAATTAGAATTGAGAACCATAAAATCAAATGCACAAGTATCTTGGCCATAACAAAATCTCCTTAAACTTACTCTTGTCATATGCTGCATCCGTAACTTCTGAAACCACAATGTCATCTAAGGCTGCCTCTGATTCAGATACCTCAGCTTCCGGTTCAGATTTTTGCTCGAAATCATCTACTTCAATCACGTCGGCCTTGCTATTTTCCTCCGCATCACCGTTCAACTGCCCTTCATTCTCCAGTGGAACTTCAGAAACATCAACTCTCTCTGAGTTCGCCTCCGATACTGTCTGCATATTAGACCCTGTTTCATAACAACCAATTCTGTCAGAGAACATGACTTTCCCTTCTAATATATATCTGAGAAACAATACGTTTAGTTGATTAAAAAAATCAAATTATTAAGTAGAAAAAAAACTTGATATGCAAATGAGCAAACGAATGCCGTTGGACTTACCCTCATCAACTGAGACATCCGTCTTCTCAAAATCATTGTTGATTTCAGAGGAAAGTTCATTCATCTTAAGAGGCATACTGTTCTCATACCCCAGGCTCAAGTTAGCCATGGTCTTTTCCAGCAGCCTCACGGATCGCCTCGTGTTATACACGCTCTTCTGCACGGAAGCTGTCTCCTTCTGGGTCTCTGTCTTTTGGCGAGCAGAAGCAGCTGGAGCCCTACTCCGAGTCCTTGGTGCGGCAGGAGTCTTAGGCACCACCTCGGCCATTTCCAGGTCCACCACCTCTTCAGCAACTGCTCTCCTTGTCCCGCCCCGGTGATTGCGTGTCAATGGCTGTGAGCTTTCTGGCTCTTCAGTGATTGGCCTTCTTCGAGCGGAGGTTCTTGCAGCAGTGCGAGGGATACTTAGTGAGCCGTTCATTGTTTTCTGTGGAGATTGATTCAGCAACTCTTCAATTCCTTCCACCTGACACAGCAAGACGGTCAGATTACAAGAGAGACAATTTCAGGCATGTTTAGCTTCAAGAAACTACATGAAAATAAAATCAAATATTTATATGTTTTCTGATCGGAAAATAGGCATGTGATTCCTTGGCAACCAAACAGAATCGGATTTCGGAGAACGATTCCCTGATTTAATTTATCTTATAAAATTATGATTCAGCTGATACTGAATAGTATTATATAGGTTTGAATCGATATACGAAAGATACACAAGGATTGTGATCCAAACACGAAAGAAAAAAGTTCAATAATTTTTTCCCTTTCGGCTCATTTTCTCACCAACTAAACACAAAATAATTTAGAAAATGAGATGTACAATCCAAATTAAATAGATAAAATTTAAACAAGAAAACGGCAATCTCCAGCAGATTTGAATCCGGAAATGTACCGACTTTGGAGATTTCACTTCCACATATCAATTTTCTCCGGATCCAAACGGATACGAACTCAAACCAATATTGTATACCAAATCAGGAAAAAGAAGAAGGGGATAAGAGCCTTACGAGTTTGAGATTCTTGAGAGAATCGGCCATGGCGACATTGGTGAGGTTGGCTGGGAGTTTGTTCCTCTTGCACAGAGTCTGGAGCTCTCTTCTGGAAAGGGTGGAGAAATCCATGGCTGTAGGGAATCCCTAGATTATCAAAACAAGCTGTTTTGGTCTTTGAAAGAGAGACGGCTAAAGATTCAGAGTGAAGAGTGTAGAAGCGTTGGAGAAAACAAGTGAGCAATCGGGGATATTTATACGAGGAGAGACAATTGGAAAACCCTAGAAATTGTGACCGTTAGAGCGCGGATTTGAAATTTGAAATTTGTTTATTATATTCCTTTTTTTTATTAGGTAAGTGATTGAAAAATTCGACCAGTGATTGAAAAAATTATGACAAATTCATATGAACAATTCTTCGCTGTCCAAAGAATAGCAGTAGCTGTTCTTAAATAATGGACATGTGTCTAATAATTGAAATTGGAAACTATGATTAGACACGTGTCTATATGTGATTGGTAGAGTTTAGCAACGAAGTAGTGTTTAATTTGTATTTGGTAAATATATATCACTATATGTATAAAAGTATTATACAGCAAACGAATTGCGTTAATATTGCATTGGCCCTAATTTAACGAGTTATCTAATTATCATACCGAGTGACTTAGTCCATCTTGATCATTTAGGTTGGATCCAAATTTGATCCTGTTTAAATGTATAGAATTAACAAAATATGAAAATTGTTCTTGATCAATAGTTAGTCAAGTGTTTAGTTTGATAAAATGATACATTTTCATTAAGGGATCAGAGATAGTTGAGTGTTTATGCTTGTATTATGACATTGTGCAGTGGTGTGACCTAAGTCAAAAAAATTTATATTCCAAATTCTTCACTATGTTACCTTTCCTTGTTCTTTAAACATCGAAATTCAATTAAAGCAACATCCGATAAAATTAGAACAATATAGAGGAATAACAAGGGGACTTGCACAAGAACCTGAGAATTTTTTTTTTGGTCAATTGGGCCTAGAATGTTTTTGGGCTTAGAACTGCGGCCCAAACATCTAACCATCCACGTGTTGAACATGAAAAAGCTTTCGCAGCACGCGTTCTTTGGGACCAAAAGTCGTACGATTTCCGCGTGGTATTAATCCCCCACAGACGACCACAACGACACATGACACAGAGGCAGAGCCACTCTTTGCTTGCTTAGCCAGCCCACCTTCTTCGACAAACCATCCAATTTTTTATTTTTTAATTTTAATTTTTCCAAATTTTTATTTAATTTTTTATTTTTTAATTTTAATTTTTCCAAATTTTTATTTAATTTTTTATTTTTTACAGAGAGAAAACAAACAGAAGACAAATAAAATAAGGCACAGAAATGAAAAATCCCCAATTCTGAATGGAAACCCTAGCCCTAACCCCAATTCCTCAAATTGGACCCTCCATTTTCGTAATTCTTCGGATCTTCCCCCCCGCACTATTCTTTGCTGGAGGCTGAGCTCAGCTCCAACTTCCTCCATTGTTCGCCGACCGAGAGAAACACAGAGAGAGAGAGAGAGAGAGAGAGAGAGAGAGAGAGAGAGAGTGTGTGTGTGTGTGTGTGAGTGCGTGCGTTTATGTGTATTATGGGTAGTGCGGATTCAGGTGCGGGGGATTTCAGCGTAGGATCGATCGTCTGGGTGAGGCGGAGGAACGGGTCCTGGTGGCCGGGGAAGATAGTGGGCCCGGAAGAGCTCTCTACTTCGCATCTCACGTCGCCTCGCTCTGGGACCCCCGTCAAGCTTCTCGGCAGAGAAGATGCCAGTGTGTATGTCTCTCATCTTTTCCCCTTTTCTGTAAATACTCGTTAGATTTAGTATTTTGGGTTGTGATTAGATGTTTATCTAGAAACCAGCAAAATAATGAAGTTTAGTGAGTGTATTATCATGTTTTAACGTTTTATTGTATGAATGAGCCGTAAAGAATGCGGTTTTTTCTATTTTACTTGAAGAAATCACAACATATTGGAGCAGAAGTAGAAACCCATGTCGGAAAATTACTGCAACTTAGGTTTATAAGGCACTGAAGATGAGATTATGGAATGGAAAATATTTGATTAGTTGTACAATTCGGAGTCAAATGAAATGTTAAATGCCAGGACTTAAATCCCAATCTATGCATACCTTTAGGTGAACCCTGTCATGAAATACTTTGGTTATTTGTCAAGGGATAAAGAACCAAAGCTCCGAAAAATCTAGATCTTTCATATAGAGATGAGAGATTTCTGGCATACGTCTAAACTTTGAGCATATTATTGTCATAATTATGCCTTGCTTGCTTAAACATGTATTTTGATGATAGATAAGGTATATCTTTATGTTGAGAATTTATTTGTTAGTCAGTGAGTGTTTGGAGAAGGGTAACAACAAAATCACGAGAGCAGTGGATTCTCAGAGATGTTGTACTAGTACCGTGGAGGCCTTGTCATTATTTCTATGCCATTTTAAACTGTGTTTCAATGTACATACATTACTTGTCATGTAGAACTATTTAGCAGAATCCTTCAAATGGTTCAGGTCTCCAGAGAATGATTGCTTACTGGTGATTCTTTTGCCTTATCTACCTAGCAGACATTTTTTTTGTTACAGATTAGTTAAGATGGATTTGATTAACTATGTTACTTTTATAAAATAGTCTTCTCTTTAGCAAACTGGAGTCTGTTCATTCTTGCTGATTCTTCTACTCATGCCTTCTTTGGTTTCATGGTTTTAACTACTGCTATAGTAATGGATATTCTGTGGTATTTCTTCTCAGTGACTGGTACAATCTGGAAAAATCCAAGTGTTAAGGCATTTCGATGCGGTGAGTTTGATGATTGTATTGAGAAGGCTGAATCAGCGCAGGGTATGCCTATAAAGAAAAGGGAGAAATATGCACGTCGAGAAGATGCTATTCTTCATGCGCTTGAGCTTGAGAAGCAGTTATTGAAGAAACAAGGAAAGTTAGGTATAACTTCTGAACGCTTGAACAATAGATTATCTGGTGCTGTGAAAAAGGCGTTAGTTATTTCTTCCGGGAGCTTGGGAATTGACAATGTAAAACTTGAAAATTCCAAATCACCTATGTCTCATAGAAATGACATTATAGGCAGTCCTATGTCTTCCGAAAGAGTCGAAGAGGGAAATCAACTAAGTGGTGATGATGATCATTCTGAAGTCGTGCCTCGGATGAGAGGCTTGCAAGACTTTGGTCTCAAAATTGCCCCTTCGAAGCGAAAAATATCTTCTCTTGCTTTAAACGGTTCTTTGAAACCCACACTTAATGGTAATGTTCAAGCTCTTAGTCGTGGTGGTCTTAGCATGGGAGGAACAAGTCATGTGAATGGTAAACATTCTTTAGAGCAAAGGAAAAGGTCACATGATGGATTAAGTGATGAAATTTTGGTCAAGAGACCTGATAAACGTCGTCCTCTTGTTCAAGTTTTGCAGAATATTGCAAAATTAGCAGTCCCACAGTCCTTGCAACCTGACAGTACTACTCTTTCTACTTCTGTTTCAGGAGTGGAGCCGACAGGAGTTATTTACAAGGCAAAGAGGAGTAAAATTGTATATTTGCCAGCTGAGTCTGGTGAATCCTTGGGGTACGAAGCATCTCCTTCAAACCATGTAGAGATCTCAGCTTCCCCAGTTGGTGCTCGTCCTCATGCTGAGTCCATGATTTCAGAGAACACTTCTGGTTTTACAGAGGATGACTCTGATTCTTCTGAAACTGATACTTCTGAGTCCGAGTCGGATTCATCTGAGACAGAACCAGATATGGATGAAGACATGCCTTTACTTTCAGGTTCAATTTTTACTATCTTTATATTTTGAAATTCCATGGGTTATTAGTTGCCAGATTGTCTGATGTAAAATAGTCCCACTGTTTATATTTGTTGGAAAGTTCAGCTCTATGATTCTTATTTATAATATTTCTTTTTGCATTTACCTCCTTTAATGTTTGGTATGCGTATTTTGATCTTCCAGGGAAGATGTGATTTGTAGCATGTTTCTCTCATCTTAATGCGCAGATTGTGATTCAGCAGTTATGCTTTTAAGCGTTTGCACTCAAACTACAATCTATTGTTTGAACTTAAATGAAGTCTATCCTTCTTAATTCTACCTTATTTTTATTCTTTATATTTGTAAATCTGTGCTGTTATAAATTTTGGAATATGCACTTTATGCTATTGGGTTGGTCTCACTGAGCTTTGGCCTCAATTGTTCATGATGGCTTCGCCACTGCTTTGTCAACACCCTCTAAGTTTTGTCTGTACATCAATCTACAGAACCAGAAGTGGGAAGATATGAAGCACAAGAACACAGAATCATGGTTGGTGAGGAGCCTGATGAATTATCTCATTCTGGTGATATGGCTCACCTATATAGTCATGACTCTCTATTTGCTAGTGGAGCTGTGTCCAAATGGCAGCTGAAAGGGAAAAGGAATATCCGCAATCTTACAAAAAAGTCTATGGATGCCACTTACGGAAAAGGCTATAATTATGGACCATATCCTGAAGAAAAGGTATGTGCTTTCATCTAAAATATTCTTAAATCTCAAGTTTATGTGGGTACATTGATTTTAATGATTATCATCATAGGGCTAATGTGGATAGTAATGATTTTCAGACTGAGTTTGGACTGGAAGATGAATACTCGATGGCATCAAGGGCTGCAGCAAGACGTCGAAACAGTGTTGGTCAGCATATGATTGATTGGGAGGACTGGACCTGGGAGGATAGGTCTGCTTGGAACGAATACTGGGACATCAAAAGAGAGCGCTTTCACCCGGTATATGATGGCCGTCATCATTATCGCAGGAGGCCAAAATACTTGATAGATGTTGACTTGAAGGTCCAGGCAAGTTACCAAAAGGAGCCTGTTCCAATTGTTTCTCTGATGAGCAAGTTAAATGGGAAGGCAATAATAGGGCACCCAATCCAAATTGAAGCCTTAGAAGATGGTTCATCCAACTCGCTTCTTTCAACAGTTGATGAATTTGGTGAAGAAGCAATTGACAATAATGGGGTTGCAACCCTTCCACACGCATGGAGGACGGCAAGGAGGACGGCAATGTTCGAGTCCCACGCCCTCATTTATCATCTGCATTGGATGGTGATGAAACTGCTGACTACCCTCCCTTTTCAGATGAAGAAAGCAGACCACCATTTAAGAAACTAAATATAGGGAGTTTCAGTAACAATGCAAGCCAGGGCAAAAGGAGCCTTCCTAACAACTCTCGGCTTCCCACTGATAGAAAGTTCTCAAAAAAGGCGGGCAAGAAAGTGATCTTATCGTCAAGCCAGAAAACGAGGACCATATCTTCAATACCCGTTGAACAGAAATTTAGTAACAAGCGAATGCATCATGATAGCAGTAGTTATCAAAGGGGAGGGCTGATCAAACCGGAGTCTTCTGGGGCTGCTACTACTGTAGCTTGCATACCGGTGAAATTAGTATTCAGTAGATTACTTGAGAAGATCAATAGGCCGCCATCAAAAGCAGTTAGTACGGTTTTATTGAATAGCGAAAAGGAGAGAAATTCATGATAGATTTTACCTGTACATTGTTATATAGTACAATAAGTTCATACTGCTAGCACCATATTTTACTGCTATTCTCTTCTTTCTGGGCGAGCACTAGAAGAAGACCGAGTTTTTCTGCCGTCTTTTGGAATAATCAGATGAAGCGGGTAACTGACACGAGGAAGCAGCCATGGAAGTACACAGGGGGGTTGTCAACTGCATTGCATGTTTGCTGGATATGGAATTCTGGGGATGTGAAGGAACTAAGGTTATGTTAGGAAGGAAGTAGGTACAGATAGAATTCATAGGAAAATGTACATTTAATTCCATACAAGGTTATTAATATGTATCTTGGCTGTTTTTCATTGACTAATTTAAGTAATATATATAGCTGTAAAAGTGGAGGAATGTGTTCTGTGAATTTCCAGTTGTCTTGTTATTAGACTAATGCTTTGAAAGAGATATTGTCCACTTTGTGTGTGTTGCCGATATTTCATTCCTTTAAAAGGCTCAAGCATTTCGAATAGGAAATGATTTTTGCGCATATTCTCCTTAAGAAATGCTAACGACTCTTAAAGAAAATTTGAGACCTTAAATTGTAAGGTGACAGAGTATCACAAAGACTTCTAATTTGAGAGAATCCACTTGGCATTTCTCGTTGTTCTTTTGCGCACCCTTTTTATTTTCTTTGATTTTCGAGGTATATATTTAGAAGTAAATTGGATTGTCTGTCGATAAACATCAACTATGTTAGAATTTCTTGAATTAAAAATTGGAGGAATTAATTTAGTTATGCTTATCAAGTTCAAAATTCATTAAAATTGTCAAAATATTCTGTCAATTCCGTAAATAAATTCTTAAAAAATCATGCAGGTAAAAAAGAAATTTTTAATACGAACGATATTACTACTACAAAATAACATCATAAAGAGGAAAAATAAATAAACTCAAGATACAATGAATTAAAGAAGTAACCATCAGCCAGTCAGTACTACGGTCTTAGTATTTCTCTCAGAATTCGATTACAAATCTGGTTGATTTAGACGGTAGGCACTGAAATAACGATATTGGGTCGGGCCAGCTTTTATATATCAATTACAGTTGACACGGACTGGTTCAATACCACACTGAATGCAAAAACGTCAGTCTTTGTCTCGTTCACAGGCAGGCAGAGAGAGGAAGTTAGAGAGAGCGGGAAAGCTTGGAACTTCATCGGAGAGAGAGAGAGAGAGAGAGCGGGAAAGCTTGGAACTTCATCGGGGAGAGAGAGAGAAAGATAGCGGGGAAAGCTTGGAACTTCATCGGAGAGAGACAGAGAGCTGCATTGGTGAGTTCGTCTTCCTCCATACTGTTCACAAGAATGTTGTGTTTCTTGATAACATGTTGACGATCAAAATCTATTGCGATCAAATGTGACCTGCGTTCTTCGATTCTTTGGTTTTTTCTGAATTAAATGTTTGTTATTGCACAGAGGATTATATGTTAAGCGCTATGGGATTAACGCGTTTCATTTTCTTTCTTTTGGTAATCTCATGGAAAACAATCGATGGAAAAGAATGATTAGAGCATCAGAAAGTTCACTTAAGCATTTTAATTAATTGTGGTTTTTTGCTTATTTCTTTTCTTTACTTAATTTCATGGAAAGTCTTTAGTTTCTGTTAATTATGTATTATGAAGCATTGGAATTAATTGTTATTTTAGCTTAGTTTCTTTTCTTTGGCCTAATTTCATCGAAAGATTCTTTATTTTCTGTTAATTATGTTTATTTTTATAATAATTGTGATTCTGTAATCTGCATACGCAGATATATGCTTTGGGTTCGGTCAGTTCAAGAAATTGTAATAGATTATAGATGAACTGGACAAGGTTTTCCACCAAGATTTACAAAACTTGTGCAGCAGATTCCAAAAGTGGATCCTCATTCTGTCATACTAGAAAACCCCGTCACAATGCTACTGACAACATTGAAAGCATTCCGGTCCGCTGTGGTTTTCAGTCTCAAAGAGGAAACTTACCTGCTACTTCATGGCCTCGGGATGGATGCTGTGTTGCTACTGTGGCGAAAGATTTTCAAGATTCTGAGCAGAGGTTGATGGGATCAAGAAATGTAATTTCGAGGTTTAATGGAAGTTCTGTGTGGTCAAAGCAGAGCCTGGTATCTTTGTCTCGTCAGTTTGGACACAAGGCTGGTAGTGGTGGTGATCCTGAATTGACTAGGGACTTCTTTATACAGCTCTGGGTTGCAGATAGGATAATGGAACAGTCTAAAAGAAACGGAAGAGGGAAAGCTGTGAAGTATAGTAAACAAACACCGTACCACTATTCATCCTACGGATGGTATTCAAGTGCACCTTTCAGTCAAGCAGCCTCTTTTGATGAGGATGAACCTGATATGAAGCAACCGCCTCCAAGTCAATCCGTCTCTGGATATCTGAAGCCAGAATCTCCAGAAGAGGTCAATTTTTTGCTCCCTATTTCTTTTTCCACTCTTAGAATTACAGCTTGTCAGTTTATCCACATAGATGCAATCACCTAATTTGCCATGCTCCCCTGGTATTGTTTTGTAGTAAGTATCGTTGTTTAAACTTTCAACTATGGTATGCTCTTAAAGAGTAGCAACTGAAATGTGATTTTTGCTGCTGTTAGAGACATTCGCTTATATAACTATGCTATAATTGTTTGCCACAATTTTTTACTTATGCTCATCCTTCTAAGTCTCTACTTTCTAGTATCCAAGTCATTCCTTGTTGTGCCTAGTTTGAGTAACATAAAATGTCTTACTTGCCATTCGTTTTATTTTTTAGGCCCAGGTGATGCCTCTTCTTGCTAGATCAAATCTGCTGATTACTAGGGAGATAGAGTGGGTAAATCTTACTCTTGGATTTGAACAGGTGATTCTTTGCCCTATTATTGTTCTTCCAGGGACTAGTGTGCATGTACATATTGTCATGGCCAGAAGGCTAAGGTTATGTGCTTCGGTTCTTGACATATTTGCTGGTTCTAAAACTGTTGACTTCTATTAAAAACTCTTGGTTTTCTTTCTGTTTGCCCCCTTCCCCTCAAATTGTTGGCCTTGAATGTTCAGGAAATATTTTGTAAATTTAATAGGTCTGATGTGTTTTCCACATATCTTTTGAGAACCAAGTCAGTTGTAAAAGTTTGTAGAATTCTTCGTCTCAGCATCTCTCTCTCTCTCTCTCTCTCTATATATATATATATATATCATTCTCACTCTATCTGACATTTATTGGGCATTTTATTTTTCAGTTCGTCTTCTTGCTTCTAGTGGTACTCTAGTTAATAATTGTATTTGACATAATTCCAGGAAAATCGGTATGCAATAGTGGATGTGTGCTACCCAGAGTCAGTGAGTAATCATTCTAGTTCACATCACTCTTGATTCCCATACAAGAAGTTAGGTTTTAAACTAATGGACCATTTCCTGTTACTCAATGTTCTTTTTGTAGCCTGTTGGTTTTATTCGTGAGAAGAGTCAGTTTATTGGTAGACAGGTACTTTCTAACCCAATCTTTACATTTTTGGCTGATATTCTTTCATGTACAGTTATGCAGCTTGAACATGACATAGTTATTTAGTTACTTCATTTTGAATATTAATCATGTTCATTTTGAATGTTATTGATATGCTGATTCAAATATAAAATTACCTCCTTTTGACTACTGATTGCTTCTTGTGCTCTATGTTATCTTATAGAGGTTTTTCTGTGCTGATGTTTGCTTTTCATTTTTCAGTTGCTTCGCCTCAGGCGCCCTTTTGTTGCTTGTGTAACTGATGCCATGGGTAATGAGCTCTTTAGGGTGAGGATATAGAGCATTTATTTTTGTCTTTTTTGTTGGAAAAAAGCATTTTGAATATACTGACATATCAGTTTTATCTCTCATTTTGTCTTATTTAGGTTCGTAGGCCTTTTTGGTGGATAACCAGCTCAATTTATGTAGAGATCAACAGTAAGGTTGGAAAACTTGACATAACTTTTCTATTGGTCGCCACAGCAGTTAAAGAGATTGTTGAGCATGTGAATTAGCATTCAGATTGTTGATGGTGCTGGATATCTGTTACTTTCTAGGAAATCGGTGTGGTTCACAGACGATGGCATCTTTGGAGGAGGGTGTATGATTTGTACCTAGGGTAATTTCCAAATGCTACTTTATTTTAATGCAGTGTTTATTTGATTCAGAATGAGTTACCTCATGTAGTCAAGGTTAGTGCCCTATACTGCACATTGTTGCCTTATGCTACATGGTTGTTGTAGGAATAAGCAGTTTGCAGTTGTAGAAAATCCTGGCTTCTGGCATTGGACTTTTACTTTGAAGGACATTGACAGCAAAGTTTTGGCTGAGATTGATCGTGAATGGAGGGGTTTTGGCTTTGAGGTTGGTTTTCTTCTTTTTCTTTCCATTGTATCAATGTATATAACTGCTGTCAAACATACACCATTAATATCTTATGAAGAAAGTATTTTATGTTTTGGAAGATGCATTTAGGGACCTAGATATCTAGTGATTATTTATGGTAAACTTGATCTTATCAAATTATGAATCTTTTAATTTTGGTTCAGTCTTTTAATTTTGGTAGGTCTCGGGTTCGAGACTTGGGAGCAGCCTCTCCATAAATGGGGGTAAGGCTAGCCGACATTCACCTCTCCCAGACCCTGCGTAAAGCGGGAGCCTTGTGCACTGGGTACGAGTCTTTTATATGCATATTTGGATTTTTTTTTTTTTTTGTCAAATTTTCTTTTTCATTGGTTCCTTAAACCTCAAGGCATAAGGTATCATATTTGATCCCACGGATGTGTACACCCTATGGGCCTCCTCCGGTTGTTTGTGCCGGCCATCTGGATTGGAGGGTCTACACATGCCCTTGGGGATATTTAGCTGGATTGAAGACCCAGAAAGCTTAATGCTGTATATCTTCTTTTACCAAAGATCTTTTATATTTGTATTTTTCAGTTAAGCTATTAGATTTTATGTGGCATTGTTTGCAAATTATGTTGTAGATTTACCAACTAATGTTTTACTATACTTCCATATCATTCAGATTTTCACTGATGCGGGGCAATATGTGATTCGGTTTGGGAGTTCTGATGCCAGCTCCATTACTGGTTCTGCTAGATTGGTAGAGTACCCAATCAGAAAAACGATGTTCTGTTTGATTTGATTTATTCCATTTAATATTCTTGCTACTTTTTCTCATTAATTCTTTTATGGCAGATTAATGAGTTGGAAGTCATTCGACCACTGACTCTGTTAGAGAGAGCTGTAACTGTTGCTCTTGCTGTATCGTTGGACAACGACTATTTCTCAAGACACGGTGGATGGTAAGCCAAAATCCAAATGACTGTTTCTTAAGAAACCATGGCTAGAATGTTCATTGTTAGCTCAGACCTTTGTGTGTATCTGTACATCCTGACTTGGTACGAATCACTGGTGTGTGCCATAAAAATTTAGAAAGTCCCGATCTATAGACTCAGGTACTCCAACTTCTGTCATCTTTGCAGTGTTTTCATAGTCCCATCTTTGAAATCTATGGGAAATTTGGAAAAATAGCCAAAATTTGGCTTTGTCTATAATTTTGGCCTTCTGTTTTGGCTTATGATAATTGTTACCGAAAGTTGGCATGAAAGTACTCAGATACCTTAATGATTAGAAACTTATTTCCTTTTCTGTCATTTCCCCTTCCCCACCCCCTCTATATTCTCTTCAGTGCCGACCAACTTCCATTTTCTTGATCTACTTACGCAAACTACCGCCATAACTGGTACCATATTTCCCAACATACTCCTCTGAACTTTTCCGATCCTTCCAGCGCGTATGTATACCTCTTCAGCTATAGAAGGAACAGACTTTATGATTTTACTGAAAGAGAAAACGCATTAAGAATCAACATAGCTTTGATACTTAAAGTCTGCAACAACGGGAACACATGGCGCCCAATTAACTAGCAGTAGTGTTTGTATAAAATTTTAGATACTTCTCAGTCGATCATTGATAGATCGATAAGGATGCAAACTTTGTAAAACAGTAAATATACGAAAACATGTAAAGAAGAAACATCGTGTCATTTGCACACGACAATTAAATTGAAATGTTACTCTACAGAAACAATCAACATAGCTTATAATAATCTTGTACTAAGGATTATGACAGTAGGGAAGAAGAGAAGGAAAGATGCAGTTGATGAGATGCGAGGGGAAAATAACTTGGCGGTATAAGTGTGCTTGAAGAGGGGAAGAGAGATGTGGTTTAGGGTAAGATTATCATAAATCAAAAGAGTTGGCTAAAATTCGACATGGGACCTAAATTTTGACGATTTTCCAAATTTCCCGAAATCTTATGTTCTTTTAGTCTTTATACCATGTATGTCTTGGAGTCTTGGAAACTGTTTCAGTACTTAGAATGCTATCTCTATCCTCGTTGCCTATTGAACGAGAGTTGAAAATGCAGGCTGATGTTTTTTGTATGTGTTGTGCGTGCGTGTTGTTCTTGTTTCGGCTCCAGGGGATCGCCATTTTATGAAGTAGGAGAATAGGTGTGGCTGGCTGTATGCAGACGAAAAGAAGAAAATCCATATGGTTATGTGTTCGTTCGTAATATTCGAGGGCTCTCAAAGACGAGGCCTTTCCGGCTGCTTTAGACGGGCGACTCCGCGGGTGATACGCTGTTTTTCTTGTTTGTTTATGAAGACATTATTGTACTTGAAGTCGTGAAGTGCCTGTCTGTGATGATGAATGAGGAAGAATTGTAAATTGGCATATCTTGGTGTTCAAAGTGGATCATTTTTCTAATCCTCGATTAGAAACTTCTTATTAACTTCAAATTCCGACATCATACCAACTAGCAACATCTCAACAACATTGGCAATATTTGACTTGCATCCAACCTTAAACGCATATCAAGTTCGGGGAGTATGTCCGCTCTTAGCAACCAAGTTCGAATCAACTTATACTTCTGTAAAATTAGAAATAACAAAAAAAAAAAAAAGGACAAATTTGAAAATATTTTATTGAGGACAAAGTGTAAAATCCAGCTGGCTGATGGCTTCAAGCAATTTGTTGCACCTTTCACAATCATTCAATCAGGAGGCGTCTATTGTGTTTACTATTCGGCCTCCGGAATCCCGCAAGAGAAATGCTAACGAGACTCTTAAAGTGGAAGTCTCCACGAATTCTATACCATTTAATATTTTAACATCAATTATTGTGTTAATATTATAAAAAATTAAAATACAAACACATAAAAGTGGCAAAAAGTCTAACGATAGTCCTACTTTTATGAGAATTTTCTTACCATTTCTCTTCCTGCAAATCAAACCAAACGTGTGGTTACCATTAAATGTCAAATTTTCAGCCTTTGTGCTCGTTACCAAACATTTCCATAGCTGGCAACAAAGCAATAGCATTCGGAGTAGGATTCTTCCCTCCAAATTCCCCTCCCCCCTCCGGTCTCTGTATTCGAGCGGTGATGATTAAGCTGCGTCAAGATTTTACGTTGACTTTTTGAGTGAGAAAGACAAAGCAAAAGGTGAGAGAGGAGGGCAGGGGAGCCGTCACGTGTAAATTCACCAACCAACATATGATTCATGAAGTTTGAACAAGAAAAGCAGCATTCTTTGTAGATTCATTTGATCGGTAAGCGCGACGAACATGGCTTCAGATCTTGGCGGAGGTATTGCTTTGCTTTGGCTGAATTTAAAATTTAAATTTCTTTTGTAGAAGTTGGGAGAATTTTGGTATCTGGGTTTGTTTGGAAATTGGATTTAATTTCCAATACGTGTCTTGTGAAGTTGATTGGTTAATTTGGTTGTGAATTGTACAGGGATGGTTGTTGTGATCATGGGAGTCAGTGGTGCTGGCAAATCGTAAGCCTTTGATCTCACCTTTTGTTATTTTTCATTTCTCTGTATATATACATGTAACATGGTAGCATTCATGAGTTCATCATATCTTTTGTTTTCGAGAATCCTAGCAAACTTCCATTTGGTCTTGAGTTCGATTCCCCCTCCCCCAATATTTGCTTGTAAAAGGGGTGACGCCAAGCCAACAAGCTCCTTGCTTTGAGAGGTTCAGGGGAGAAACATCTACCGCAGCCTTACCCTTGCTTTGCAAATAGGTTGTTTCCATGACTCGAACTCATCACCTTTTGGTCACACAGGACTAACCTTTCCATTGCGCCAATATTTGCTTGTATATGGAAAACAAAAAACTAACAATCTTCGGAAGCACAACCACATACTGGATCCTAGTGACTTTCTCAAATGCCTTGGTGTGATTGGATTTAGATATAACGGCATCACTTAAGAAAGTTGCAGTTTCTTATATTTGATCTTCGAATGTTGTAGTTTCTGCTTCTTATGCATTCCGTTGTGTTGTTCAACAGCACGATAGGTGAGATGCTGGCGAAAGAGATAAATTCTAGCTTTATAGATGCAGATGATTTCCACCCTCAATCAAACAAAGGTAGGTGCTGGTGTGTAGCTTATATTCGATGTTGGCAACTTTTCTAGTTTCTAATCGATCTTTTATCTTCCTGTAATCAGAAAAGATGCGTAAAGGGATCCCTCTCACAGAAGAAGACCGGATTCCTTGGCTTGAGACACTTCGAAATAGCGTAAGAGACAAGTTGGTCGCTGGTGGAACTGTGATTCTTGGGTGTTCGGCTCTGCAGAAGCGATACAGAGAAATTTTAAGATCTGCCGACCCTAATTATAAATCGGGAAGTTGCGCCAGTTTGGTGAAGTTCGTCTTGTTGGATGCTCAGGCAGAGGTGCTGGCTGCTAGATTAGAGAAAAGAATCGCGGAAGGGAAGCATTTCATGTCACCTGCACTTTTGCAGTCTCAGTTGGGGTTGCTTCAGATTGATGATTCTGAAGGAATACTTAAAGTTGATGCCGCTTTAAGTCCTCAAGAAATTGTAAACACCATTCAAAGATTGCTTTTCGATTTAGGAGTTCAGAATTGTAATCATTAGGCCTGTTTAGCAGCAGCCTAGTACGAAACTGTAGATTTCTTCCGGTTCAAAACGTTCTACAGATGTGTAATCCGAGTATTTCGTCAGTTAAGATGCATTCCTATTCCCGTCTCTTTCTTCTGGTTTAACCATGGACAGGAAAAAGCATCACAAGTGCTAGAAAAAAAACCTGTACGAATGAAACGTACGTAGCAGAAGAATCCAACTTAAAGAGAGAGAGAGAGAGAGAGAGAGAGAGAGAGAGAGAGAGAGAGAGAGAGAGCACAAACACACAAAAGTTACGTGGTTCGGCAATGTGCCTACGTCCACAGGAAAGGAAGACTGAAAATCCATTACTAATTGATTACAAGGATTTCCTATTTTCTATCACCCTTTTTATACAGGGGAGGGAGTTGTACAAAGAATGTGGACTGAGATTGCCCTGTGCTGCAGTCTGAGACTATTGATGAAGAACACTAACTTGCGCTGCTCCGAAGCAAGGATATAATTTCTTATGTTCTTGAATCTTGATCAGCGGTATGATTCTTAAAGAAAGAATACTGCAGCTCCATCTGATGTAAATGTGCAAATATGATTCAAGGGAACCCTCAACCCCTTCTCATGTTCTTGATCAGCGAATGCGGTTCAAATGAGCAAAAGGCTCGGGGTTAGCTTTGGGAGCTGGTTTAGCCACCTCAGGGACCCCAAAAACGTTCCAAAACCTGAGTGTTTCATCACCAGCTGCTGATGCAACTGTGCAACCATCGGGGCTCTGCAGATAATTCACAACATGAAAGGATTTAGTTTTATGTCTGTAAGGGAACATAGCTTACATATTCAATTCCATTATAAGGTTGTCAGATTAATTACCTGAGCCATATAAAGAACTCTAGAAGTATGGCCAGTGAGCTCGGCAATTTTAGCCATCGACGGGTATTTCCAAAGAGTGAGCTGATTCTGAGTAAACCCATGTGAGCTAAGCAATTCCCTTTCATTCTTGTTCCACAGCAAAGAACAGACCTGAGAGCCAGTGTCAACCGAGTTCAAGCATGCACCTGTGTGAGTGTTCCAAAACTTTATGCACCGGTCACCCCCGCCTCCACCAGAAGCCAATAAATTGCCCTGGAAAGGACACCAAGCCAGGGCTTTCACTGCAGCTGTATGATCTTCAAGTCTGTGAAGCCACTGAGTTGGTGAATTTGAAGATGCCACTGATCTGTCCCATATATGGAGAAGGTTGTCGTTTCCTCCGCTAGCCAATTGTTGGCCTGAGGCCGACCACTTGAGTCCACAAACCTCTTGCTCATGTCCTCTGTATGTCTCAACAATGTGTGATCTAATTCTTACATCATTGTTCACAATGCAACCGTCCATCCCTCCAGTTGTAAGAATGTGGTTGTTCCATGCCAAAGAGCCTACTCGTGAACGGTGGCAACCTCTCAACGTTCTCAGCTACAGAAGGAAACAACATCACAAGAAATGTTGGTAAAATTGGCCACGATGTAGCATAAAACAGAAGAGGAATATGACAACCAAACCAACCAACCTGTTTGTTAGCAGTCGAATCCCATAACTGTACTTCAGAATTGTCCAGTCCAATAGCAATGTGGCGCCCATCAGGAGCCCAACTGACGCTGGTCACAGATCCAACTTCATCCTCAAATGTGACCAGTTCCGAAGTAGAACCATTGGTAGCATCCCACAAATAAACTGTGTTTGCAAGAGCTATTGCGAGGACATTGCAGCTCCCCCAATCCAACAAATTGAGGTAGTAATCATCCACAAGGTCCGGAGCATCCAATGTCTTCTCTGAGGTCTGAATATTGCATCAAATCATTAGTAGTCAGTTAAACACCGCAACAAATTTTCAGAGTAACCAATCAAGTTTAAGCAAATATGTTCATGAGATCAGAATAAAAAACATATACGCACTTGAGGAATGTGTCTTCGGGGCTTTGCCGGTTTATCCTGTTGCAGAGAAGAGAACTCGCGCGGGAACATCTCAACAGGGGCAGGTGGCTTGTTCTTGAATGCAAGGATTCTAGTCCGGTTCATGTTCATTGCCTCTGCCAACTGCTTCCGATAGGCCTCTCTGGATGGGGAAGAGGCAGCTGGGTTTTCCTTACCTTTCCTACCTTCCGTTAGCATCATGTTCGCGAAATCAAAATCCATTGCTGACCTGTTTGGTATGAACCTGTCCAACTGGTAAGGTAAATTACAAAAGATGCAAATCAGAACATCGGTCAATTAAAGAACCCTAATTACAGAAATCAATTAGATATCAGATCCCAAATTTAGATGAACCCCAAACCCAAACATATATACCAACCAATAACAAATATCCAAATCAAAGTAAAACAGAACCCTAATTTCCGAAATCAAATTGATTGAACCCTAATAAAGAACAGAATCCCAAATTTCCGAAATCAAATCAATTGAACCGTGAAGAAAAATCTATTCGGTATAAAATTAAAAACTCACGTTTTCCCGAGAATTCCTTCGCTGAAGAAACTGTTCTTGAAGAGGGCACCTAGACTGCGACTTAATGTTGGGTGAAGAACCCATTGATCCTGCATCCATGATGTTATACCCACACAATATATATATATATATATATATGCGAAAACTAAAAGAGCAAAATTTAAAAATCCTGCAAAAAATATTAGTCAGTTCACAAAATCAATCCTGCAAAAAGGGTTAGATTCAAGAAATTGGAGGGCAAGTGATGTGATAGATCTCTGAGCGTTGCAATGAATTGCGATTTCAGAGAGAGAGAGAGAGAGAGAGTAAGTGAGTAATGCTGGGGTTGAATTAGTGGGTTTATATAGCGATAAGATGAAGGGGTTGGCAGACGCGCTAGGGTTATGGAAAGCTTGCAACGGCTATGTATCCATAGAGCCGTTGAAAACTTGTGTGACGGAAAATACCCCTGCGTTTGGTATACAGCACACCGTTTGAGTTCCCTATCTAGTAATTTTGTTTTTTTTTTAATGAAAAATCCCTAATCGTAATTATTAAGGATATCAATTATTCAACTGTGTCTCATTCACTATAATAATGCAAGATCTAGCATTATTATTTTCTTCTTATGAAAGTGAAGGATCTGACATTTTTCAAGAAACTTAAATGGGAGATACACGATAATTTCTTTTGAGGTGTCAATAATATTTATAGAGTGAAAAATAATCATAAGGCGACACGTGGATTTTTTGATGAGGAAGACAAAATTATCCTTGAGGTGTATCATGATTCCTACGCGCAGGTAGCGGGCAATCATCCCTCAACCAAGTAAAAAAAAGCCTCAAAAAGGTAACAACTCAAATTATTTCATCCATCATCATCCTTTATTCTCCACATAGTAATTAATCCTTAAACCTCCCCAACATTTCTTATAAAATTATGTTAATTGGTAATTAATGGATTTATTACCAAATTCATCCAATAATTACCAATTAAACCACCAAATTATACCCCAAAAACACACCAAAGGCCGGTTACCCTCTCTCCCAAGAGGGCCGGCCATGCCTTTTATTTTTGCTACCATATTTTTTTCCCTTTTATGACATTCAATAGCTAGTTAATTAGGCTATTATTATTTGCTAATTAACTAGCCCATTATTTCCATAACCCCCCAAAATAAATCACCCATTGCCTAAAGGCCGGCCACACCTTTTCTCCCCTATATATTGGCTCCCATTTTCACCAAACACTCATTCCAACACTTTGGCAAAAATCCAAAATTCTCTAAACACTATTTATCTCTAAATTCTAACTTTGACATCGGAGGTTCTTTGGCCAAAGCCCCCCCATTCATCGTGGGCGCATGAGGCTCTCCCATTTTCACCAAACACTCATTCCAACACTTTGGCAAAAATCCAAAATTCTCTAAACACTATTTATCTCTAAATTCTAACTTTGGCATTGGAGGTTCTTTGGCCAAAGCCCCCCCTCGTTCATCGTGGGCCCATGAGGCTCTTGGCCTTAACCAAAGATGTTAATTGTTTTGTAGGTGCAAAATTGTCCAAGATCAAGGAGGAAGAAATTTGCATCCCTAAACCCTATATATATATATATATATATATATATATATATATATATATATATATATATATATATATATATATATATATATTAATTTATAGCTTCACAATTCTTTTTTATTTTATCTTTTTTTTAGTAAAAAAGGATCAACTTATCGTTTTGCTACGACAATCTACCTTTTCAAGGACCGAGAAGACTCACATAACAATTCTTTTCAATTTTATAGATTTTTTTAATGATTTCAAATGTTTTGAATCATCTTTTATTGTTATTAGCATTTGCCTACACATTTTATGTGTATGATAACATTTTTTTAGAAAATGAGAAGGAAATAGGGAGAGAGAGAGAACGTGGGGGGGGGGAGTGTGAGGGTTTTTTTTTTTGTTTTTTTTAATATTAGAGGTATTTTAACATCACCTGTAGGTACGGATTTAATAAAAAAAAAGTAAATTTTGAACTTGTGAAATTACATTATTACCCATCATTTTTTTTGTATGATAGAAGACTAAGTGGTATTTTCACCCTCTTTTGGTTGGCAAAGAGAGTTTCATTAATTAATAGAGATATGCTTTCTCCATTAGTATGCTCCAATATTGTATTCATTATTTCTAGTTTTATTTATTTATTATTTTGTAAAGAAAAAAAGAACGTGAATCAAAGTATCTCATTTGGTCTATTTCTGCCAAAATCAATAGCAAAACCAGGCTTCTGAATCAAAACTCAGTCCATCGGAGTCCATCCATGTAAAATTCGTAAATCTTAAATAATCCATCCAGCTGGTATTCAAACACATTCGGTTTCTTGGACAGTACGGTATCCACAAAATTACATACAATCCTACGAAATCTACGGACAAAACGAATGCAGGGATTATACGGCTACGCTACCTATAGAGCACGCTGCTACGAGAAAACAACCCATTTCTTAGAATTCCAACCATTACATCTTCAGAGATTGATCATAGGCTCATAACATAAAGTCTTACCGATGTGAGCCCCGGATCATGTGAACTGCCGCCTCATGTACGTGTCTTCATGGACGAATACTGGTTCTTGGGTAGTAGTGCTCTGCTGTGGCATCTGAGGTTGCCCCATAGCTATTGCCCCTTGATTAGGGGTGGAACCAGCCCATGAAGGATCACTGTTCTTTGCTGAATTTAAGGTGACATAGTAGACAATTCCAAGTGCCACACTTGCAATTGACAAAACGGCACCTCCGGCAAACACTCCGGGTTTCACAACGTAACAGTAGTAGTTGCCAAAGTACATGCTTTCTACACCATGTCGGTCATTGAGTGCGGCACCAGTGAGCAGCAGAAGAAACGCTATAACAAATGTGAACCTGCACCAGTGTGGAGAGTGGAGTAAACGGAAAACACATTCATTGTTAATCCAGTTGAAACAGATAGACAAGTTGCCTTTTTCTTGTAGAAAAAATGCGCATGTGCTTTTTAACCAGAAAAACAACAGCAGCAACAAGAATAGTAAGAAACTGACAAGATAACAAAACGATGAATTAACCAATCATGCTTATGGATTAGCAGCCTTAGTCATTTTCCTCATGAATGATACAAGTGGTAGTTGAGAATTACCAGGAAAGAACAAAGCAGAACAACGCTACTGTCCAGTTAGAGTTGTAAGGCTGAGGGCTCCTTTTGCAACAAATGCACCCAGAAAATACATTTAGAATTATTTGAGCTAACATAAGAGCCATTGCAGCAGTTACACCAAGTCCAAGAGCCGGACTCCGAGGGTATTCACATTGAGCAGCTGAGACAAACTGAACCTGAGAACCCTGCATGTTAGAAAATGAAGTAACAGAACATTTTCAGCATCGACTCCACTATGCAGACTGAATGCCAACAAAACTGGAAAAAGCCGGAGAAGAAAATCAAATGAACTTAGCATGAAGACGCACTTGCTTAAAGGTTCTAAACAATCACTCCATACTGAAAACTGACAACTTGTGAGCATATTCTAAACAAATTGAGTACTGGTTTGGTACTGAGGTGCTTATATAGCTGAGCTCAAAAAAGTGTTTGGTAAACACTTAAAGACAGCTTATTTTCACAGTTTTGGATGAAAAAAAAGCTAAAACGTGAAGCAACAAAAATGAGCTTATTCTCACAGCACAACAGAAGCAGTTTTTTTTCAAAGCACAGCAATACCAAACCAGCCTTGAGTCCATCGACAATAACTGCCGAATGGAGAGGGAAGGCGTAAATCTCTCAGTCTCTCCATTAATCTCCATCTCAGATTCTCACATGAACACAACTTTTGACATTAGAGGTCAAAATGAGCTATTAACCTTATGTGCAACAAAAGAATGATTAAAGGAAATGATAGAGCCTAAAAGATGACTGTTCTTGCTCCAGATTTGAGATTTTTAATCGCATTTGTAAAGAAATAACACAATTCCAAACTGTGTTTTCGTTTACTGAAAAATGGGCAAATCTTCATCAGCAAACTACACTAGTGAGTTTCCGCAGTCATTTTGGAAGCCCGAAAGTTGAAGCATTGAAGTCAAATAAATAATTGAAATTTGGAAGTTAAGGTAAAGGCATCGGAAGTCAACACTACATACGATATTAGTTTCAAGTCTTACCGAAAAGGGGAAATGTAGAAGTCAGCTTAACAAACAGCCATCTTCTTAATAGAAGGGCTGGGTTAGCCACTCAGTACTACGGTCTAGTGATATTCTTCTTCACTTAGGTTCGAATCTCCCGGATGACGGATTCGATACCAAATTAGACTACCCATTGTGTGACTTAGCTGAACTCTCCCTCCCTTAATGTAAAAATATTGATATACTCATAAAAATAAAAATAGAAGGGCTGGGTCTAGCTCGTCGAGGTTAAAAAATGCCTTGGATTTCGAACAGGAAATTCGAACAGATGCAGTGGAAACAAGAAAAACAATGACAAAAGAGAAAATTAACTGCAATCCTAAAACAACTTTCCGTTCGTTGAAGCAGATAAGAAATTAAAGCTTCAAGCTTTGGAATTTGCACCCTTCAAGGATGAACAAAACAGATTAGTTAGTAATAATATGAAATCCCTCTTCTACTTTACTTAATTTCCCAACTTTTCCCAGCAATCGAACAGAGGGTTAGAGTATAATCAAGCAAAAAGGAAGCAGATTTAGACGAACCCATGTGAAGAAAAGAAGATCTAAGCAAAACCCAGATGAGCCCCTTAGCTTTTACCTTGATTCTCGTGCCCTCGGCGCCGAAACCTGTGGCGGCTGATAGCAGCCCCAGTAGTCCCACCGCGCAGCAAACCAGAAGCACTTTTCTCTCCATCTCTGGCTTCTGGGATCAGCCAAAAGAATCTCCCCACTAACACTCTTTTTTCTGTTTCTGGCTGTTGGGCGTAAATTTTGGTAACTTGTCTGAAGTCTGAAGAAGAAGAGAAGACGTAAAGTTGGCTGCGCGTCTAGGTAGTAGATACTTGGACAGGAAGCTCCCGGGAGGGAGAAATTTTTAGCCGTGAGAGATAATAAGTTGTACATCACGTGTTTTAATATAAGTGGTAGGAAATTTTATTTTTTAAATTATTAATTTTTTATCACACATATCTCACTATTTGTATAATGGTATGTGATATACTACATATGTACCAATCACATTGAAAAATCTCTTCGAGAAGGGTCGCAACGAACCGAACAAGCTAAAAGTGAAAAATTAAATAAATAAACAAATAAAACCCATACAACGGTCGGATGATATTCTTTTCCATTAGTAAATAAGAGGTTTTGAATTAGAATCTTGTAGATGATAAATTTGATACTAAATTAAGTTGTCTATTGTATGGTTTAGTCAGACTCTCCCCTAAAATATATCATTGTACTAAAAAAAAAAAG